TCGCCATAGCCTGTAGACCAGTGGTGCCCAACCGGTAGCTCGCGGGCACCTGGTACTCCGCGATCTGCATTCTAGGCGGCCGCGAACAATTTTGTTGTAATAAATTATATAAACAATTATATCTACAGTGTAGACGCTTGCGATATTATAAATATCACTCGAACAGCTTTTGATGTTCATATTTTTTATGATTTTATTTCTTGTCTAGATTGATTTTCTACCAGTTGCACTATCACTTTTGGCGACAAGCAAGTATAAGTTTTATAGGAGTATTTTATTTTATCCTATCCTATTTTTAGTGCATTTAAATAAAAGCTTGTTTTTAGAAAGGTTTTTTCTTTTAGTTTTTGATTTATACAAGAAAACTGTTATATGCGTTGAGTATGTTACGCGTCATAATTAAATTTTATACGATAATTCACGTCATCCTTATCAGGATTCATCGATAAAAAAATATAAGTCGAGCATTTGGGAGAGTTAAGTCTTCGCGGAAGTACACATACATATGAGAAACAAAATTTACTTTTACTTCATTAACTTTAAGTCTAATCATAGCTGATGCTGCCATTTTTATTGTGATAGCAAATAGCATAAGACAAAAGATGACATGATGAATAATTGAATTTGATGCTGCACATATTTAAATTAATAATTATTTACTTTACTTCTTTTAAACGTTATAGAAATCCTTTTTAAGATTCAGTGTTTGCAAAATTCAGATATCGACTGAGTATTAAGTCTCTCCTCTTCATGTTTTTATAAATGAGTAGTGTAACCACGAGCTCGTGAAACAACTACATTATGCATATAATTTAGCAAGGAAAATTATTTCCTTAGATCGTCGTCATGTTGCGAACAAGTTAACTAACCGCACCTAATGGAATATAGAAATAGAAGCCTGTTGGTAGCCTATGTTGCCTCCCACACTATGCATACTTACCTATCACTACAGCCTTAAGGCCCTTAAAACCGGAACCTAGCAGTGCAACCAAGACTTTCTCGCCACTAGAAACAGCTATAAAGGATGCTAAACCTATTCTCATGACTGTATTAGTTATGTTAAACTAGGTATCTAAATCTAATCGATGAGCTCGATGGTTGTTAGCGCGTTCGGCTGCGATTTGAAGTTAAGCAACTTTCGCAGTAGTCGGTTTATGGATGTACCTAAATTTACTATCTAGAGCTCGTCCGTGCTTCGGAAGGCACGTTAAGCCGTTGGTCCCGGCTGCATCTGCTGTCGTTAGCACCCACGAATCCGAACTGGACCCTCGTGGTGGGTCATGGCCCAATTTTTCTATTCCATCCATAGGGTAGGCCTGGGCCCCAGCAGTGGGGATATTAATAGGCTGATGTTACTTACAAGATATTGGGCAAAAAATGTCCTGTAGGTAATGTATTCTCTCTGCCTACCCCGCCCGCGATAGGAGACGTAAAGGTACCGTGAGTGTGATTGAGAAAACTATGAAAAAATTACGTTATGTATAAAGCTATCATGTCGTTGATTAGAAAAGTCTAATGTTAATAGTAAGTATACTTTTTAGTATTTCTATGTTCGTACATTAGATTTCCAATGTTAGAAGCCCATTACAATACTGTTTGCACTTTGCAGTATCAGTATTGAAGCCAAATTAAATTAAATCTGCTTTCTCGGTAACTTTCTCTTAGTTGCTACACTTAACAAAGTTTGCACATATTTCAATGGCACCATAATATTCGCTGGAAATCTGCACATTCCAATAAACAATTTTAATGAATTTGCGAATATAAATAATCTACAAATGCAAGTCCATAATATGTTCCATTCTTATACTGAAATCAGTGTTGTATGCAAATCGTCTTATATCATGTATTTCTCTTAACAATAAATTACTATTTTATTTTCCCAAAAACCTGACAGCATATCGCTTACATTAGGAGTGGCAAAGTAGCATTAGAAGAGCAATTTTCAAATTTAAATTTACATATTTCGGGGAAATAATAGAGAAAGTCTGCAGATATTATATTAAGTAGTACCTCATTTAGTTTGTGTGCAGCAAAGTAACGGTGAATGACATCGTTAGTGTTATCTGTTATTTCTCATTCATGTGGCCGGTCAGATCTAGTGTCAGAGGTACAAGCCACCTGGCATGACCCTAATGTACTATCTGGAAGATCAAGATACCATAATCGTAATATCATCTGTAAACAGGTCGAGTTATATTCAAAGTACGGTTATGCTACTAGCAAAATTTCCGGAATGTTGTAAACTATGTATGTAGGTTGCTCAGCTATTTTTTTCATCTGGGTCTAATAGAATGCGAACCAACGTTGTTGGTTTGCCCCATAGAGCAAAACTGTCGACGCGGCCAGGAAGGGAGTAGGCATAGACGGCTTTCCTCTCTGTTGTGTTGGGCATACAGATGATACATGTAGGCAGTATTTGGCTATGTATTGTGTCATTGTTTATGTGTACACTCACACGTAGTTAAAGTTTTATGTGCGTGCGTTTGTGTGCATATTCCCCCCCTCCCCCTTCCGCGCACAAAAACTGCCAGAATGATTTTAATAGTATAATATCGCTATGGCTACTCCCTTTCGTGTTGCTCTTTGATTTGCCTACACAGCGAAGGATGCTGGTTGACCAGGGATTTTTTTCCTATACTCTATTCAACTTCCTCTAAGACAAAAGGTAAACAAATAAACCAATGTTCCTAATGTTTTTAACGGGAGTATACATGGCCCGTGTAACCAGACTGATTACAAAATTTCACATTTAAATTTAAGTTATTTGCTTTATCTTTTCAATTTAGTAGTATTATAATGCATTGAATATTTGGGAATAGCCACAGTTTTAGGTCTTTTTAATGTCACTTTTTATTAAATTATGATTTTATATGTGTATAAAATTCGAAAACCTCTTGTCTCAGAGAATTTGAATAGAGTAGTACATAGGAATGATGATTACAATACAAAATATTAACTGAAACAATCGAGATATAGGTATCGAAACATTTCTTTATTTTCTGTCAATAATAATTTAACTTAAAATAGCTATACATCGTATAAAACAAATAAGGAAGACATACCAAGTAAAGGTAAAAAGTCAACATGCCTCATATATTTACATAGTTACAGATTATTACAGTTCTTAAAAACCTCCAGATACATAAATAGGTACTCAATTTCCTTTTATTCGTAAACATGTTTTACAATACTGGCCATTTATGTTTGCTTTTTTATGTTAAAAAAGGCAAACAAGCGTATGGCCCGCCTGATGGCAAGCAGCCACCATAGCTTATAGACGCTTGCGATACCATAAATATCATTCGCACCATTGCCTACCCTGACCCAATCCCCTACTACGTGGAGCCCTGGAACTCACCGACAGTAACACAATACCACCAAAAGGTAGAGTTATCTTCTGTCAAATGGAGGCTACTTCTTCAGATGTGCGCTCCAATCCGCTAAGCCATAGCAAGCAATATTGCTACTCCATAAGAAGCTTTCAAAACGCAAAGATATCGAAAATTAAAACCAAACTTATTATTTTGTTCGCTTTGTTGACCTACCGCAGTCTCACTTTAAAATGGCGAGTATTGTACCTACTTGTTTTAAAAAGAAAAATTACAAAACATTTGACTTATCCAATTATTTTCAAAAAAAACCAAACCTTTCAGGTAACAATTAGGTGGTTTTTGTATTAAAAAATTAAAGAAATTTTAAAACACTAATTAAATAATTTAAATATCAATGTTCAAACTATTTTACTACATACATATATAATGTAATCTATGCCGGCACTTCACTTGGCTATTCGTGTTTGCTATTTGTAAACGTTTATTCATTTATTAAACATCTGTCCTTTTCGTTCTTTGTACAGCATGATAAGGCTAGACTGGTATCGAGTTTACAAATAGCAAACACAAATTGCCAAGTGAAGTGCCGGCATTAAATATGTGACACCTTAACTCATCGGATTCTATACAACGTTTACTTAACGCAACTTACATCTCGTCTACATTCAACAAAAATCACTATACAATATTGTAAACACAAACAAAACAATGAACAAAATAGAAATAAATCGTCCCCTTGACTGCAATGGAAGACACGGTCAACGAAACAACTACGCGAGTATGGCAAGTAAAAATAATCATAATAATATGAAAAATAATATTTTTGCAACTTTTAGGATGACCTCTTATAAACTAATATTTATTTACAATCAAACAGAAACAATTCGCAATATATTTACAGCGTCACTACTATTTTCACTAAACAAAAGGCTCTTCAAATGAATTTTTTGCCAAAATAACATAATTTAAAAAGAAACATATTAGTATAATATTTGATTTTGCAAAAACAGGCGTAGAATGTCACTAGTGTTTAAATACTATACTAATTATAACTTGTTCAATCTTTGTTCGCATCAAAATAAATTTACATGGATTTAAATTAATCGCGCGCCCACATTTTTTTGTACTAAACAGGCAGGTAATGAGCAAGATAATTTCTAACGTCGACATAAAAAATTTATTAAAATTATTGAAAATCGATACAAATATGAGAGGAATGCAATGCATATAGTTGGAATAAATTTGTAATTGCGCAACTTACGTATAAGCTGAACTGAAATTCTAAATTCAACAAGTTTCTACTTTATTTTTTCGATTTTTATAACGATTAAGCCAACCCAATATGTAAAGAACAGCAATCCTCGCACATTGAACGCAAAAATGCTTAAAAATTGAAATCGAAACCCAATGCAATGCATATTTGCAAATAATTAAGAAGTTAAACAATAAAAGTTGTATGCGCGATACACAGAGTATGAATAAGAGGGTTTCGATTTCTATTTTCAAAAGAAGCCCACTTGCATCAAAGTTCTTTAATCAAATTTAAAAGCTTATCGTAATAAAGCCTTATTCTATCCCTATTTAAATTTAAACATTGATAAATATGGAATGATGTGTTTATTAGGATTGGGTCATAATTTGAATTAAGAATGTTGGTGCAAATGGCCCATAAGTTCACAGTGTTTGGTATTTTAATTCGTTTCTAATGAACACGCAACTGATTTGGAATCTTCAATCCTTGTCGCCGACGAACCTATAAACATCCGGTGGTGGCTCGGGCATGCAGTACCCGTGGTAGGTGCGGATGTCTTCGGCCGCGTACGTCACTCCAGCCAGCACTCCCGGTTCGGTGTGGTGCCTGGGGCACGTGTGGTCCCTGGGGCACTGGCATATCGTGTTCGCGTTCACTTCGTCAATTTGCTCGTGTCGCCGACGAGCGCTGAAAAGTTTGCAAGGCTCCTTGCGTGAACACCTTAATCTCTGTAAATAATGAGAAAGAAGCTATTGTAAGTATTAAGCTTCATAGAAATCCTTTTTTAATTTGCGCTTAGAATTATTGAGCCTATACTATGCTGGTAATCAAATCTGTCCTTGCGGATGTTGGTGATTTATTTTATCAGGGCCAATCCTTGTAACAAGTTTTGTTTGTCAAACTTTAACCAAAAGGATCTTGTTTTATTACATTATTATTTATAAATCGAAATTAAAACATTTCTCTTTCATCTGTCTGATGCCAGAATCAGTAGCTGAAGCACTTATGTAATAATAATCAAAAACAAACAACGAAGCTCTTATTATTATAAGTTATCTTGTGATACCTTGGTTGTTTATTTCTCTTCTGATTACACACGGATCCTAAACAAATAGAAAAGTAAGCTTTTTTATGAATTAGGTCAGGCCCGAACCCGGAACGTTAGGGACGGCGTCACCATGAAAATCTGTAAGCAACCCGGTGCGGTGGTCGTATGTAATACGCAAAATATTGGAATCAATGCTTATTTCTTTCCAATGACATTACTTATTAACCATAAAAGAATATTGATAAAACTAATGCAATTGTAAAACTTTTTTTGGTCGTTTTTCTAGCGCTACCTAGCGTCGATTGTACGCACTAAACGAGTAACGGAAAAAGCAACACGTACGCTTTGCGGAGAGCACGCGAACTGGTACTGGTTCCCCTGCTCGCCGCTAGGTGTCGTGTACGGTATCTTCTTAAGGAGGTAAGTGACCGAGTTCTTGGGGCAATGACAGTTCACAATTTGCTGTGTGGCGTTGGTGTCGGGAAACGAGAAGATCGTCCAGGCCGCCTCCTTGAAGTATCTACATTTGGGCAGCCTCTTGACTGGTTCGCATGTCTTGTACAATGTGGTTTTGTCTGCCAGTGTGTGGTTGTCGTCAGGAGTCAGTTCACTGTAACGGAGAATAGACTTGAAATTATATTAAAAATCATAATTATAAATATAAGTTAATTTCTATGCATAAAATTCCTACATGTTAGACTGTAAATAAAAACATAGAGTAAAGTAAAAACTATAGGATGACACGCACACAGCGTTGCGATGCAAAATTGTAAGCTTTTCAAGGATGAAAAATCTTCGATTTCTTTGCAACAGTTGTTTCCCCACCGTCTAAACGGAAAGATGCCTATTACTGTTTCGGAAACTGTAATACCTATGCAATGAGCTGGCATGCGCTATCACTATTCTTTTTCCGTGCATCAATCGAACAATATATTGATTCCATTCATGGTAAATATGGCGTTGTTTCCTTACTTAAAGCTTTTTACCAATCCTGTGGTATTGTGATCCTGTCATAGATCACTGAGTTGTATTTTCCTAAGAAGTTTTTTGTACATACGTGGTGCAGCAAATTACTAAACCCAACCTGCTGTTAAATGTAAGTAGAGTTCAATTGCGAAATAGAATAATTGCCTAGTTTTCTATGCAAACTTTCAAAACTTCCTTCATATTTAATGCTGACGACAATAAGTAGTAAGTATGATTTTGTTCTTCTTCGATGTCGCCTTTTTACTTTACAGATCTTCATCAAAATCAGTTAGGCCTGGTCGTATCCGCGGAGTAGGGGATAGATGCGAGATCGTAGGGTTAGGGCGATTGTTAACGGGACGATTTTCCGCCGAGTCTAGGCATTGTTTTACGCCGTGTCTACGTCCGGTCACCAGTTAAGTGTGGGACGCTATGGAGGTTCGTTAACGACACTGGCGCTAGCGGCGATTTGGGGTCGGTGCAAACGTTCAAACCGTGCTCGTGAACAAGCTTCGCCGGCAACGGCCCGGGTAGAAACCGTGCCTAAACCCGGCGGAAAACCGATCGTAAACAAATGCCCTCAAGGAAGGCAACGGCGCGAGCGATACTCTGGTATCGCAAACATCTTTAGGAAATGGGGGCCGCTTACTATCCGGCGGGCTGGATAGTCACTTTCGCAATTATATATTCGTATTTTTAATATTAGCGCAGTCTAAAACCTCCACGAGGAGCTTGATGGCGCAATAGGGATGATGACGGGGTAAACTAAACTAAATTCTTTTTAGTCCGTCAGTAAGATTAACAAAAAAATAATGGATACTTTTCTTTAGTCAATCAACCAAAAAATTACAAGGATAAAGTGCGTCAAAATTTGAAAGCGAGAGCTCGTGAATTCGCTTCTAAATAAAAATTGTACTAAGACAGGACGTTATATGACATTTCAAATTCAAAATCAATATAGGTATTTCTGTAATGTTTTGATTATGTGAGAAAAGAAAAAATACGTGGTAAATACTTTTTGATAACCAAATAGGCGAAGAAAAAAATCAACATCCCTATTGGTTAGCGCGCTCGGTCGGCGATCGTGGAAGTTAAGCAACTTTCGCAATAACCGGTCATCGTATGGATGACTGCTGATTTTATTATCTGGAGCTTTCCTCATACTTCGGAAGGCACGTTAAGCCGCTGGTCCCGGCTGCACCCGTAGTCGTGAGCACCCAATTCAATACGCACTTAGTCCGCCTGGTGGGTCTTGATCAATCTTCCTATTTCACCCTGCCTATGTAAGCAGTTGCGGTATTAACAGGCTGATAATGATGATGACAAAAAACCACATTAGAACGGATATAGGTAATAAATATTTCTAATCACCTGGAGCAAGGCCTGTGCCCCATGCAGCGGCACTTCCTCTCGATCCAGGGCTGGCTTGCGTCGTAAAGGTCCACCTTGCTGCAAACCTGCCGCGCCCTGCACCACGGCAAGTCCTCCTCTGACACCTAGAAGAAGCAAACGTGATGCGTTAAAGTTTATCCCGCAATGTTCGCTTGCCCCTAGCAGTACTAGAAATCTTATAACTTAGCACCTTTCTTTTGTTCTTAATCCTTCTTTTTCAAACTTACGCCCTTGCACTACACTTCCTTTCTCTCTCAATGCTATATTATACATGTGAAAGTATGTATGTTTGTTTGTTACTCAATCACACAAAAACTTCTGAACGGATTTGGATGAAATTTGGTACCTACGCATAATTATAGTTTATGACCTGTATTGAGTCATAAGATACTTTTTATCCCGAAAAAATTTAGGTTCCTGTAGGATACTCAAAAAACCAAAGTTAACGCATACGAATTAGCGGGCGGCCGCTAGTTTTTAATATTCCTTTGATCCCTGGTAGTACCCATAGCAGACTTGAGTCAAGAGTGCGATTGCAAAGGAGTGACAGCATCGAGTTAAAAATTTATATATAATCACATTTAATAAAGTATACCCACAAGAGTATCGAATCGAAAAAAAGAATACGACTAGGCTATTGAAATTAAGCTCCATTAGTCCTTTTCAGTTTGACATAATATTATGGTAGCGTTACACGTGTCGTCGTATTTGTCGTCCTCCAATCTATTTTCATCCAATAGTCGCCCTCTTTAAAGCACCGATCCGTAAATATCAAAGCTATAATAAATACGATAATGGTGATTGCTTTGCCCATTACGTATGTCGTCTCGAAACGAAGCGTAGGCACAACGTCTCCGAGCAAGGTTGTGAAAAGTGGCTGCAATTTCGGTACATCAAAAACTCTATTCAGATAGGCTTATAAATAAAATAATATGCCTACATATAAGACCTCTCTAAGAGAAATAACAAATTGTTTTGACAGAAAGCGTTTTCATAGTACATTGCACCTATAATCAACTACAGAAACTAAAATTTTGTCTTTAACAAAAATGGCTACAATTGAAATAATTTTAACTTTTACTATATTGTAAAGTGCAGTGTTGATTATTTAATCAACATGTATATCAAGTTTTCTAACACACTCCAATTTTTGCCATTATATTCAGCCTTTATTGCCATTTTTGACGACCTCCGTGGCCGAGTGGTTTATACGCCGGGTTTCATGGTGTCGCCTACTCGAGAGGTCCCGGGTTCAAATCCCGGTGGGGGCAGATGTTTGTGTGATGAATACGAGCATTTGTACTCCAGTCATGGATGTTTAATATGTATTTCTATATAAATATTCTTATATATGTACAATATATGTATTCTATCCGTTACCCTAGTATCCCCTAACACAAGCCTTACAGTGCTTACTTTGGGGCTAGGCTAATTGGTGTGAGTGTTAGAAATATTTATTATTTATTATTATTATAGCCTATCTTATGACAAACGATAAATTTAAATATGATATAATAAAATTACGATATCCCTTCCGTGCGCACTGCTGACAGGACTAAATTTATTTTTTTAACGAGGAAATTTCATCATGCCTGCTTTAAGTAGGTATTGCTAAGTTCTACCTCTATAACTCGAATTTTTACCTCGAAATCATTTGGTGACAATGACTTACAAAAGAGTCAACGGACTGCCACACAGTATATATTTAATGCAAGTGATATGTCATTGTAGAGGTATATTGTTTAGGAATGCAGGTTGTCAAGTACTTGCTAGTAAATCATAGGAAATCGATATAGAACTTTTTGGATTACAATATTCAAGTCACGCTTGCATTCGAATCAACTAACATTCGCAACGACATCTGAATTTTGACAATGTCTACGGGCATATTCCGTACCTGATGGGCGCCTATCAAACAAGCTGTTTTTAAAAGTTTGACCAAATTACCATGAATATGTTTGGGAAATTTTGATGAAAATGGGTTTTCAAATATTAATTTCCGTATTTTTTCTTTGATTATATTGTTTGAAATAGTCTGTTTGAACAAATTATTTGTACATCTATGGCGGCCATATAAGATTAGGATGACAATCTGGCTCTGTTGCATGTAACCGTTGCGTTGACCTACATAAAACCAAAACAGACCCGAATTCTAAGACTGTACTGTTGATCAACGTAGAAAATAAATCAAATTTTTATTATCAAATTTTATTAAAACCCACTTGCACCAAAATTCTTAATTCAAATTTAAGCTAATCGTGTTTAACACATCAGAATGAGGTTTAAACACGATTAGCTTAAATTTGAATTAAGAACTGTGGCCCTTGCAGCACTCGTGTTTAACCATAGACTTAGTATTTAAAGACTGACAGATTGAGAAAAAGAGATCATGCCCCTATGACTATCTCACAAGGAAGAAAGAGAAGCAACATGATGTAGCTTTGTTCCAATAACGTAAGAGCCAACATCATCCTGTCAAACCTTTAGCCTTAAAGTTTATTATGAAATTCTGTGAATCTAAGATAAAAATTGTGCTTAAACAATTCAGTTTGTGTTATGGTATCCTGTGGTTTAAGCATATCTTGACAAAACAACACTATCACTCCAATCAAACACCGATACGTACACATGCACAATTAAATTTTTAGAACACTACTGCGATAGGTACTCTGTCTATCTTTACATCCTACATCTATATGTTTATTACATCATTCCATCTTTGTCGTAATTTGAATTGCTCTTTGGCCTAAGCAAGTAAAGAATCCAAATACAAAGTTAAAATGTTATTATTCTATCAAACAACGCCATTTTGTCTATTATAAGCCTATCATAAAACTGATGGTATATCAATCAACGATGCACAATAGCCGTAACGTGCGGTCGCAGCGCGTGAGAAAACACACAAGGTGCCCTGATTTGTAACACACCTGCTCACAAAAACATAATGAAAGTGACCATTATTGCGATCTACGTCGGAAAGATGTTAATCATGCGATTGTCTGGCGCACAATAAGGACAGGACATGTGGATGGTTTTTTTCTCTCTCTTCAGAAAGGACCATCAGTTGTACTTCCGACCGGAAGGCGTGCCATACGGCAACCTGTTTGCTGTGGGAATGTTTTTTTTTTCACCGCTCTATGGCTCAGGGCTGGCGATAGGGTTGCCAGATCGAGCAGTCAAAAATCTGGATAAACTTTGAAAAGTGTCAGGATTTCGGGATTGTTATCGGGAGAATTTTTCGCTCTCCCCCTCCCCCCTATAGCCGGATGTCTCACGTACTTCTTAAGCTAGACGCGGACAGGGCACAGGGTAAAAGAAAAGTGTATCGTCATGTTCATTTGTCGGAAAATTTCATTATTTATCGGGAATCTGTGGATCACGTAAAGTGACGGGAGTATCCAGACGATACCCGACCATCTAGCAACCCTAGATGACGATGCTAACGTGACGAATGTGCGCGTCGACATTGTACACGATTTCGACCTTCGTTGGATTAAGACGAAACAATGGTTAGCTTTGATTTTAACAGGCTTTTTTTATTGTAGATGTTTCAAATATTACATTCTTTAGCGAACATTAAAATGACTAAGCACTTAGTTACTTCTAATTTCAAGATTAAGTTACGCTACTGTTGTCGATTTGTTATGTAATATCCTCACTATCGTTGATAGTGACCTAGTTAATTATAATTTACAATTACATAGTGTTTATCATCATCATCAACAGCCTATCTTAGTCCACTGCTTTACATAGGCCTCTTATATCATAGTGTATACATAAATAAAACTGTAATGTTATCGTAAATAGTAAACATTTAAGCAAGACGCAGTAAAAAAGTTATTGCAGAAGCTCGACGGCACAGATTGCCGGTCCTAAAGCCTAAGATGGTTAACCAAAAATTTAATTCTCTCAAACATTAAAACGTTGGCTGTTCTAGTTCGTATGCACCACCAATCCGTTCTAAGTCCGTGTTCATAGCCCGTAGGCTGTACTGGGATTCCATCTATAGGGAAGTCCAGTGCCCCAGGAGTGGAGATACACTGGCCTGCAAAACAAAGTACATATCACAATTTTAATATTTCAAGTATTTCTAAGCTAAACAAGTTAGAGATTTAAAATAAAAACGTTTTGTAGCAAATTTTATTAACTTTCTTAATAGCTGTAGCACAAAATTAAACTCTTTTTATTTGGATATTTTGTGTACTTAGAAAGTTATTGCAATTTTAAAAGTGTGATACTTAGTTTTGCATGCCAATGTATGATGGTTTTAAATACATCCATAAATTGTGCACAGCCCTACACAAGAACTAAGTGTTAAAAAAAGCATTTTTTTCGCGTTGTTCCGGATACACTTCCCGTTTCTTGTGCGTATCGCGATAGATTTCGCGGAAACGACGGATCTTTGTATAGTAAGTAGTACAAAGATCGACTCGCCTCGACCGGATATAGCCCTTTTGTGATGAACACAAAAAGTGCTACGCAAAGGAGTGCACAATAAGACACAATGATATGGGTTGTTGACTTGCTAGAGAGCTTTAACGGAGCTGTGTAGACGGCAAGCTGAATGTTAATCCATATCATATCGTAAGTTATAAGCGATTCGTTACCGTGGAATTTTTAATTTAGCTAAGTGTGTAATGTTGCTTTTGTACGTCTTGTTGCGATATTGAGAAGTACGGCAATCTTACTTGTTCAATATTTTTTTTGTTTGCCTTTTAATTATATACAATGTATCAATAAATCGAAGCCTACGGTCGAAACAAACTCATCTAGTCTACTCCGACACCGAAAAATACACACTAAAAAGTCTAAGCAATATATTTTATATTATGCTTAGGAAATGTATAATTCATTCGTTTTCTTGCTTATGTCACAAATAAATCAAATCGATTGTTCTTAACACAGTAATATAAGTACTAAAATTCGTTAAAAAGTGTTTTGATGAGTATATATTTATATTTTTTAGGATATACAGTATAATATAATATAGATATTAAAGATTTGAAATGTTCTAATTAACTTTCTGTTCTCTTTTCAGGTACGTGTTGGCCTTTTACGTTGGTAAATATGTATTGTTTCTATAATGTTTAAGAAGCAATTAAAT